TTCACATTGTTCTGGGTGTGCAAGATTCAGCCATGGTTGTGGGGATTTCCTCCGCACAAATCGGAGGGAAATTCAATTTCGAGACCTGTCCAATCATCATCTTTCTGTCAATTGCATAACATAAGAATAATTAATTGGAGGCATTTGTTCATTGCAACTATTTCATGAGCCAAGATGTAGTAATTATTTTCTGTAAACTAGGCTTAAAGTCTGGTCCTATGATTTCAGGCTGCTGAGGCTGACAGCTCTGTTGACTTGGGGGTCACGTGGTTAACAAGAGTAGTCTCCAAAAGGAAGTCAAGATTTTTTTCTTTATTTACTTTACAAATAAGCATGTCCAATGTTTCGAAATGTTCCAGCAGAGAGAAAACTGGGCAGTGCTTTGGCAAACTATAAACCAATAGTTGCATCAAACATGATTCTTTTGCTTGACCTCTATCTGTGAGCTTTTTTTGGAGACACCTCTTTAATACATTGGACTGTCTCACTAGACTTTAACGCATGTGAATGAAATTATTTAAAGACTATTCAAAGAATTTATATACGGATGACCTTGAGTTTGACTGAACTAAACAGCCTATATTTACTTCATTCAGGTCATCTCATTCCAAGTGTGATACAAATACTTTACAGAAGAGATAGAGCCTTGCAAACAACTCTCTCCCCTGCCCCCCTCCTGTAATATTAATCTTGTGTTATCTTTTTGCTGGTTGAAGTATTTTCAGGTGCTCTCCTTACTTGCTCTTGGTGCTGAATGCAGAATTACTTCTTTAGCATGCTGAGACTTTGTGAAAATCTGCCTGGAATTATAAGAAGTAAGAAGTAGAAAGTATTATCTTCAAAAAGTTGGTTTTCCTAGATAAGACAATTACAGTAATGTGTATCTAGCAAAGATAACATCAGATTTTTGGATCTATTATAGAGAGAGGTATGCGATCAAAGAGAAAAGGGAACATACCTGTGCTGGTTTGGGTATGGCAGTGCGTGAGTGGTTTTACCCATATGACAGCTTAATTTCTGTGCAAATGTCATATGACACTTCTAGGGAAA